CCCAGAGGAGGAGCTGGGGGCAGAGAACACCAGCCCCGGAGTCCCGGCACAGGGATGGAGGCCATGCTAGACCATAGCCACCTGCAGTGCCTGGAGCCGGGGACACTGCGTGGACAGAGACTGCAGATGGGATCCAGAGATGGACCCTGAGGGGGGTCATCCTGACCATCAGGGGCCAGGGTCCCTCAGAGGGCAGGGGAGGGAGAGAAGCTGGAGACGGGGAACTGCCGGCTCCTCAGCGGGAAGGAGGAGCTGAGCTGAGGGCTGTGGGGGCTGGCCGGGCCCCTGGAGGCCAAGGCGGCTCCCCGACTGGACTGGAGCAGTCAGGTAATAAACATCACGAACCACCCAGCGTGTGGTCACTGCAGCGTCGGAAGGACAGTGGCCCTCAGGGTAGGCAGCTGGGGGCAGGCTGGTTTCAAGCGGGCTCCCCCACAGAGGGCCGGGGAACAAAGCCATCGAACCCAAGACGACGCACAGAGCTCAAAAGTCTCCCCCAAACCGTGCAATTCCAAGCCCCCATTTTCCACCAGAAATGAGGCCGTTTGTGTGACTGCTTGTTAGTTCTGTAGCAGGGCAGAGGGTGACTGATCACCTGCCTAGGGCTTCACCAGCTCCAGGCACAGAGTGGCACAGGGTGGCACCAGCCTGGAGGCGGGGTACACACATCTGGAGATGAATGTCCTGCAGCCAAGGACGACCCTGGGCAGTCACCCATTGCAGTGCCTCTGATCTCTGCCATGCAGATTCCAGGGTCAGCATCCACAGGGTGTCCGCTTGGGCAGCAGCAGTCAGCTGACACTCTCTGTGACAAGTGGAGACATCCAGCAGGGCTGAACCACAGTGACTGGACAGGAAGGGGCTCTGCCATGTGTCGTCCTGCGTCACCTCTGGTGGGGCTGAAACTCCAGGACTCGGAAGACAGAGATGGCCATGGCCACTGCCCAGCCCCCAAGACCCAGCCAGGGTCACCCTACAGGGCGCTCCTGTGGCGGGGCCGGCCCAGGACACCGCAGTCCTGGTGACACCACTCGGGCAGCTGCCCCGGGCCGAAGGATCACAGCACACGGCAGCTCCTGGTGTAGCTGTATTTAAATAGCTGAGATACACACATTTCTCCTTCTGGAAAATGTCTGCGGAGCAGTCCTGTTCCCGGGCCGGGCGCCCTGCGGTCCTGGCCAGCGGCTCCACCCGGCCTCTCCACAGACCATGCGTGGCCGCGTGTGAGCCAAAACGTCCGTTTATTTCAAAGCAGTAATAATTTAAAATCATAAAAACCATTCTGCCAGGAGCGCCTGGTGGGTGAGGAGGCGGGACGGCGGCCGGGCCCGCGTGTGCACACCGGGGCGGGGTCCTGTGTCCCCAGCGCCCCGGCTCTGGTCCCTGGAGCGCCGGCTGGGCCTGGCGCGGCCCCAACAGAGGGGCCGAGTGTCCCCGGGAGGCTCGGCAGCTCAGGAGTTGCTCGCAGCGTTCTCGTTGCTGGGGGAGCTGGAGGACGAGGACGACGAGGAGGACGAGAAGCTCACGCCGCCCAGGCCGGGCGGGTTGGTGGCTGTGTTCTGTCCCGTGAGGCTCTTGCGGCAGACGGGACAGCTGTCATGCTGTAGGGAGGAAGCGGGCCGGGGTCAGGCTAGGCTGGGGGCCTGGGGCCCGGGAGGCCAGGGGCCGGCCGTGCTCACCTGCTCCAGCCAGGGCACGATGCAACCGTCGTGGAAGAGGTGGTTGCACGGCAGCTGCCGCACACTCTCACCCAGCGCGTAGTCGTCCTTGCACACGGGGCACTCGAGTCCGGAGCCTGCGGGAGGTGGGGTGAGCCAGGGCACCCGGGCCCCTGCCCTCCACCCGGCTTGGCCCCGGCCTACCTACGTGCTCCTCGGTGACGGGCACGGTGGGCAGGGCCTGGATCTTCTCCCTGTCCGCCGGCGGGGGGCCTGTGTTCTCAAACTGGTTGAGGAGCTGAAAGACAAGAGCACAGTGCCGGGAGCTCCTCGGGGCGGGGCGGCCGGCTCGCTCCGGAGGGGCGCAGGCCGCCTTTTGCGGCCAGCAGCTGCAGGACCTGCAAAAGCACCGGGGCTGCGTTTGTCCTGGCGGCCGGGCCGGCACCCTGCCCGCCCCCGGGCACCCACATCTTGGGGTCCCACGTCGGGCTGGGCGGGCTCCGGGGGGGTGGGGGGCCCTGGCACCGGGGGTGGCAGGGCAGGGCTCCAGCTCAGGGTACCTGTGTGATGATGGCGTCCAGGCCGTTGGCCCCCCACGCATAGTCCATCGGGTTCGAGTGCAAGACGCCCCTGGGGGCGAGAGGCTGGGTCAGGGGCTGGGGGCGCGGAGCTGGGATGCCCCGCCCGCTACTCACCAGGGGCCCAGGCCCAGGCTAGGGATGGTGGCCGGGGTGATCATGCCGTTGACCAGCTGCTGGATGATCCTGGAAGAGAGGGTGAGGGGTGTCCCCACAGGCACCAGCCAGCCAGGCCAGGCAGCGTGGGCTCTCTGGACAGGGTCCCTCTATGTCACCCAGGCCAGCCCTGAACTTGTGATGAGACCCGGGCTGGCCTCACACTTTCGACTGTCCTGCCTCAGCCTCCCAAGGGCTGGGATCACAGGGTGGACTCTTCCACAGGGAAGCCGAAAGAGGAGGCAGAACCCGGCCAGGTGCCCGGGTCCACAGCCAGGACATGTGTGGGGCCAGCGGTGCCGAGGGAGCAGCCTGGTCCTCCCGTCCCTCACCCTTCCAGCGTGGGGACACCCTCGTGCCGGCCGGTGGCCCGCCTGGCAGTGAGGCGGGCGCGGGGCTGCCTTGTGCCATGCCGATGCCGGGACTGGTGCTCCCTCTCCCGCCGGCCCTCAGGGTCCCTGCTGTCCTCAGCCTGAGCCCCAGGAGGGAAAGTGGGGATCTCGAAGCTGTCGTCGAAGATGCCAAACGCGAACTGTCCATAGCCCTGGGGCAGCGTGAACAGGTGCTGGTCCACGTTCTGGGGAGGGGTGAGGGCATGCCATGAGCACACGTGGCCTCTGGGGCGCCATTGGCGGGCACGAGGTGAGGCCAGGCCAGTCAGGGCACCCCCGGCCTACCACCTCCACCTTCTGGCCTGGGGTCCAGGGTCAGGCACTGGGCTCACCTCGAAGGGCTGCCGGCTCTGGTCGGAGGGGGCCGTGGATGGGGCAGCGCTGTTCTCCGAGCTCCTGCGGACATGGCGCCCATCAGTGATGTCACCGACCCCCGCCCTGGCACAGGGCTGCCCTGCACCCACTCCCACTGGGAGGTAAGCAGGAGCTGGGAGGCCAGGGCACACGTCACCTCCCCAGGGGGACCCAGGCGCCATCAGAGCCTGACAGCTGCCCCCACCCCGTAACGCCCAGGGAGCCCCTCTCACTCCCTCCACCTCCCTGCCTCTGGCTCCAGCCGCTACCTGGTCTCCTCCGGAAGCTCCTCGATGAAGCCTGACTCGCATCTTGGGCAGATGTAATCCTGTGGGGAGAGTGGGGCATCGGCCAGGGGTCCTGCCTGCTCACCGCTGCCTACCCTGGAGCCCAGGGGGACACAAGGGCCACTGGCCACTCGCAGTGAGGCAGCGAAAGCAGGGTCCTTTTGACCAGGTTCAGTGCAGCTCCCGCTCGATGCCCCCATCATGGTGGCTGCAGAGCATCTCACACTCCACCCTGTGAGCTGGGTGCACACAGGCCCTGTTAGCACCCTTGGGTGGCACTCAGGCAGAGGTGGGGGGTTTCCCTGGGCCTGGGGACGCAGGTTCCCCGTCCCTGCCCCCAACAGGCAGCTGGCTCACAGCACACATCTGCCTGCCTGTGCAGCACCAACAGTGACCAGTGCGTGCACCCAGGAGGCGGGCGCAGCAGGGGCAGCCGGGCAGCCATGCAGGACCCTGGAAACTGCAGAGGCCCGGCCCAGACTATGAGGAACCCCTCCAGCTCCGGGGCACAGGTGTCCCAGGAGTGCAGAGGCGAGGGAGGCATGCAGCACTCTAGCCCAGCAGGTGCAGCCCAGCGGCTTGTGGACGTCCTGCCTCAAAGCTGTACAGGGGGCGGGGGACATGGTCCAGTGTGAAGGCCCTATCGACTCCCAGGACTAGGAGACAAAAAGCAAACAACTGTGCCTGTGATCCCAGCCACTCAGGAGGCTGAGGCAGGAAGACTGCAGGTCCCTTCTCAGCCCAGACAACTTACATCCTGTTTCAGAATAAAAAACTCAAAGACTTAGGATGGAGCTCTGTGGCAGCCCTGGGCATGCGGTCCTGGGTTCCACCCCAGCTGGACCTGCCTCCAGAACCGCCCACAGCTGGGCGATGAGCACGAAGTTCCCCGACACCAGCAGTCACAGGGAGATGCCCTGTGACTCAGGTGACCAGGACGGCTGCCAGGGCTGGGATGGGCTTCCCGGGCTCCTGGCTTTCCACAGGGCAGGGTCAGAGGTCAGGCAGGGCCTGACCCTGGGGACCAGCTGCAGCCCTGTCCTGGGCCCCCCTGACCCCTCAGGACAGTGACACCATGTACGGCTTCACCCTTAGAAACCAGGCAGCCTCCTCCTCCTGGTCAGTGAGGGCCACTTGGCACTGGGACCCCACACAGCCCCATCTGCACTGATGCTGGGGACCCCAGGTCCCCACTTGCCCCCAGGGCCATTCTGGGTCTGAAGAACCAGGTCAGAGGCAGCGGCATCCGTGCCCTGCACTGCCAGGGCCCAGTGCTGCCTGTCAGCTCTGCTTGCCTGTCCCCTGCTCTGTGGGACTCATGGGCAGAGGTCACTTGGTGGCCCTGGCAAGCTGATGGCTCCCAGCTGGGAGCCGAGGGTGGCCCGAGAGCCCACCAAGTGCAGACCCAGGTGACCTCATCTCCCTAGGCATCCGTCTGTGCCTGCCGATGGGGGCCCTGACACAGCACACAGCCAGGGCCAGGTTGGTGATAATGGTGACAACTGATAATGGTGACAATTCACCTCTGTGCCTGCAGCCACACTGTGCCAGGACCTCTGGGGGACACTGACCTTCACAGCGGGCCAGGAGCATAGGGTGTGGTCCTGCACCTGAGGCCCCCATGAGATCTAGACCAGTGGGGGAGCTGCCCAAGGGCACCTGGCTCCCCACACGAGCCTTCCTGGGCTGGCTAATGCCATAAGGAGTGTGCACCCCTGACATGTGGCGGAGCGCTCCTGTCCCTGGGATGCCCTGGCCGGGACGCCACACCAACCCCAACACACAGGCCGTGGTGCCCTGGGCATTGCTCCATCCACCACTGGACTGTGGCATCCCAGGGCATCAGCAGGGAACACTGCCCTGCAGGGGGGCAGGTGGTTCCTGCCCCAGCACCCAGTATGACACAGGACACACAGTGGCCCGAGAGTGACCAGGCACCCAGAGAGGAAAGGAAGGCGGCCTCCAAAGCCCAGAGGACGCTCAGTGACAGAGACCATGGCTGTCCACGCCACCCAGTGGCTCACCGCTGGCTGCCCACTCCACCCCACCCCACCCACCCTCCAAGGGAGGGTCCCAGGCACCCACTGCCCCTAGTGCTCTCATAGACACTGCTGGGGGAAGGTGGGCCTGTCACGGGCCGACAGGTGTCACCCAGGTGGAGAGCAGGGGTAAGGGAACCTGCACCAACCCAGCTGCACTGGGCCCTCAAGGCAAACCCCAGACTGTGAGTCCCACAGCCACCGCTCCCAAGGGGTACAGGCAGCATCCGCGGGCCCCGTGAGTCCAGGACATATGCACTAGAGGGTCCCCCTCCCCCGTGCCCCTCACCTTGGGAAGCCAGCCCACAGGGCTCCCCACACCCACGCCCCACACCTCACACCAGTGCACCCTGGGACAGAGCAGATCCAGCCCCACAAACCTGATCTGAGCATGGCCTCCACTCCAGCAGGCCCAGCTGGTTCGGGCTCCCACACCCTCACCCAGGTAGGCGACCTTCCCAGGATATCCTGGCACTCTGCACCCAGGAGCTGCCTCTCACAGCCACGGTCCCAGCCCCAGTCCCAGCCCCAGCCCAGGTCCTCCTGCCAGTCCTGGCTGTGAACACAGCTCTCGTGGAGGACACTGTCACAGCCATGTCACACGCTGGTCACCTATACCCACGTGCCCCTTGTCGCGGGCCAACTATCAGTCCTCCGGGCAGGTAAGGACACCCAATGCCTGGCCACAGCCACATGGCTCAGAGGTGGCACGGCCGGCAGACATGGCAGCCCCCAGGGAGCAGTTTTTGGCCCCTGGCAGCCCGCGGTGCCTGAGAAGGCAGTGCTACAACAGCAGCCAGTTCCTGGCACAGCCGGCAGCCGCGTTTCCTAAAAACCAGCATCATCGCAACAACCACAGCGTGGGCGGGCAAGTCCCCTCCTCGGGGCGCTGAGCCGCGGGACTTCCCCCAGACCGAGGGCAGCTCCGATACAGCCTGCCCGACCCCCAGGAGCAGCCCCCACTATGCCCTGCTCTTCCCTTTGCCAAGGTTTCTCATTAAACACCTGCCACTCCCCTGTTCGCCTGTAACCCTCCTAAGGGCAAAGGCCAAACCAGATGGCTGTGACCAGCGAAGGCCGTCACCCGCCGGTGCAGGGCAGGGTCCTTCTCACCCAAGGCCGCAGGGCCAGAGGTGGACACACCAGGCGGGGACACACCTGGAGAGTCCCGGAAAGAGACTAAGTGGGGCCGGGTCAGCTCTGCACACCGGTCCGGCAGGGCAGGGCCGCTGCGCCGTCGGTACCCGGAGTTCACACCAGCAGCCCCTGCAGCTGCACCGCCAATCTCGCTTCCCCGACCCACGCCACGCCCCCAGACTTCACTTCCCCCTCCTCCAGGTCCTGGTTTCCCTTCTGCAGCTCAAGCCCGACTCTGACACACCTTCTCGGCCTGGAGAAGCTGATAGGCACCTCCTCCGAAGTGAAGTCCCTCCCCTCAAGGCACGCCCCCGCCTCCCGCGAGGGAAGGAGTGGGGTGCAAACCCTCGCGGCCCCAGCCTTTTCTTTCCCCACTGGCTGCGGGCTCCAGGTATCTCCCCACCCCTCCATCTCCCTAGGGTTGGCAGGGGGTGAACATAGGGACCACGTGTTGCCTGCAGCCACCTCCAGTTTTCCCACCCGAAAAGCAGAAATGGGTCGGACCAAGTGGCCACTTTCCCAGCCAATCTGGGGGACAGAGACTGAAACAGAGCCTTCTGAGACACCCATCCCCCCGCCGCAGGGTGACTGCAGGCCAGCCTGAGAAACACTATCTAAAGGAAGAGGAAGCACCCTAGGGACACCCAGACAGGGGCCCCTGGGCCACAAGGGCTGCCTTTGCCACCTGGAGAGAAGGCAGCGCGCAGAACCCCTGAGAAGCGATGTCTCGGCCCGCCTTGCGCCCGGCCCGAAGCGGGTCTAGCCACAAACACCTGCAGCTCGCAGCTGTGGGACCCCGGGCTTCAGCCTGCGTCTCTGGACGGAAAGTGGCGGCAGCAAGGCCTCAGTGCACACAGCGGCGAAGCGCGCCCCCGAAGCCCGGCCGCGCGCGTGGAGAGCGTCCCCGGCACTCGCTCGGGTCCGCCTGCCCACGGCCTCCCCGGCCAGGGTCCCCAGGCAGTGCCCACGCCGGGGCCTCTCTACGGCACTTCCAACGCACCCACCCAGCGCTCGGCTTCCGGGCCTCCGCTTCCTCGCCTGCAATGGCAAGCTCGCTGCACCCGGAGTCCACATAAGCCTGCGGTTCACCGTGCCGCTCGCCTCCTGCCACGCCTCGATGCCCCGCACCGGAGCAGGGGCTCCGGCCCACGGCGTCTCGGGCGCTCCACTGGGGCACCCTGCGCCGGCGCCACCCGGCCTACTTCCTCGCCGGCGCCCCGCTCCCGGCCACGGCCGGGCCAGGCCTGAGCGCACAGCCCCCCGCCTGCCCGCCCGCCCGGGCCTCACCGGCAGGCGCGGCACGATCTCGACTGAGCAGCAGTGGCAGAAGAACCGTCCGGGCTGCGGCGACGCCTCGGCCATGGCCACCGCTGCCTCCGCGCCGCCCACCCCCCCCCGCGCGGCACCAGCCGCCGGCCGTTTGCTGCTCCCTCGCCGGCCGACGCACCCGCGCACGCATGGCACGCACATTCACGCACGGCACGCACAGCGTGAGACGGGAACGCGCGGACGGCGCGCTCCTCCGACGGCGGTGTGGGCGACGGTGGCCGTGGAGGGACAAGTCAGGCCAAGCCGTCCAACTAGGGCCGGAGGAGGGAAAAGGCGGAGCTAGGCCTGGGAAAGGGGAGGAGAGGAGTCTCGAGGGGCGGGGCTGTCTCCTTAGCAACTGAGATCTAGTACGGGGGTGGGTTGTGGCCAGGTTTGGAGGCTGTGGAATAGGCCGAAGGGCGTGATCGAATCTCCTTCGCAACCTACACCCGGCGCGAGGGCGGAGCCCAGCCTGGAGGCTGCGGAGGAGGCTGCGCGGGGCGGGTCCGGGTCTCCTAGGCAACCTGGATCCGACGCGGGGGCGGAGCCACTTGGAGGCCCCTCCTCTCCCCCAATCTTCGGAGATCCCCGTCTTTCACGCTACTTCCTGGTCTCTGCTCCACGCTACGCCCTGCTGGGCTTTATTTCCGGGGGTTCTCTGGGCGCGCTTTCACCGCCGGGGGTTTGCACTGGCTGCCCCCTACCCCATGCACTGTCTTCTGGATTCCCGAATAGCTTTCTTCCTCCAATCTTTTAAATCAGTTTTTCCCACCTCCTGAAAGAACTTTTCTTTCTTTCTTTCTTTTTTTTTTTTTTTTTGAGACAGCGTCTCTCTATGCAGTACAGACTGGCCTCCAATTTGCAAACGATCCTCCTGTCTCAACCCCGCAAGGGCTGGGATTACAGGAATGTGCACCACGCCTGGATGTTTCTAGCGGAGCGCCTAACAGTGCCTGGCGCAAGCAGCATCCCAGAAACACCCATGCTGTGAATTTAGATGGAGCACCCATTCCCTCGCAACCTACCCTGCTCCCCGCGCCTCGGGGTGAGCCTGGGGCCATAGTCTGAGCTTTGCTCCCATGGTGCTCCAGGAATTAACCTCTCAGCCCCTCTGGGTGCAGAGGGAGCAGGAATCCTAATCACTTCCTCCCGGAATTACCTATTCAGAATGCTCCATTGCCAGTTTCCATTCTGAGGTTAGTTCCAGCCTTGTTACATTTATACATTTCTTTACTCGCTCAACAAACATCCACTGAGCACCTACTGCATGCCAGACCCTACATGCACACTAACACCCTGGAGCCCCTGGAGTTAGGTCCCACGTGGTGGGACCCTCAGGTGACCTAGACTCGGCCTGGGGAGACAAGAAGGGCTTTCTAGGGAAGAGTGTGTTGGAACTAGGGCTTTGACGAATTAAAAGGAGTTGGTTTAGCTTCCTGCAGAAGGGACTTTGGGTTTGACAGCCAGTAACTTTGGTCCACTTGTATAGGAAATGATTCTAATTCACGGTGTGGCCACTAGAGGGCGCGCTGGCCTCATGATTGGGAATCCAGTGACCTCCAGGAGGCTTCACTGCCTAGTCTGGTTAAACTCTGATCCTCCTGGTCAGCCTCCTCACACCAGCGTTCCTTAGACTAAAATTTTTGAGTGAGTGGCACCATCTGGTTTTTACCTTGAGCAGGCATCTCTGTCCCACGCCTTGGTTTCCTGTTGTACCACAAATAATTGGGCACAGTGGTGCTTGCCTGCCGTGGATGCACTGATGAGGCTGAGGCAGGAGGATCACCACAAGTTGAAGGCCCCCTAGACCACATAGCGAGATCCTGTCTCAAAAAACAACACAAAACACAAGTCAGGAGTGGTGGCACACACCTGTAACCCCAGCACTTAAGAGGCTGAGGCAGGAGGATTACTGTGAGTTTGAGGCCAAGCCTGGGCTACATAGTGAGACCCTGGCTCAGAAAACGAAACAAAACAAAGCCGCTGAGAGCTTGCCAGGAGCTGGTGAGGGGCTCTGTGACCAGGGCTATGGCTTCCATGGGCTGATCTCAAACTTGAGGCAGCCTCCTGCCTCAGCCGGCCTCAGCCTCCCAGGTGCTGCCATGATAGCCTGGCACCACCACTCCCGGCTTCCCTTTCCATTTATATTTGTGGCTTTTGTGTCTTTAGCCTTATCTTTTCATTTGTAGTCTTTTTTTATTGCTGTTGATACCTTTCAGTTTGTAGGGCTTTGGGGGGGGGTAACCTTACCCTTGTTCACATATTTTGGGGGAAGAGGAGAGTTTGTGATTTGGTTTCTTTTTGTAACTTTGTTGATGTTTCATAATTTTGTCATTTTTTTTCTCTTTCTGAGACAGGATCTCCCTATGCTGTCCAGGCTGGCCTTGAACTCACTTTGTAGCCCAGGCTGGTCTCAGACTCGCAGTGATCCTCCTGCTTCAGCCTCCCGAGTGCTGGGATTACAGTACTGTGCTACCACACTATAAAAGCCCTGCTATAATTTTGTCCATTTATTTGGGTACTTATGCCACTGAGCTAAATCCCCAGCCCCCCGGCTATAATTTTGTGATTTTTGCCAGGCATGATAATGCATGCCTATATCCAAGCACATGGATTGCTGTGAGTTCAAGGCCAGCCTGGGCTACCTAGTGGGATCAAGGCTGGTCTGAACTGCATAGTGAAACCCTGTCTCAAAAAGAAAACAAAAATTGTGATTTTGCAAGTGACCTTTTTTTTTTTTTTTCCAACTTGGGATAAACTCACTGAAAGGGGCTTCAAACTGGGCATGCAAGGGCCCTGCGTGGTGCGTGCAAAGGCCCTGGGTTCAATATTTAGTAACAAAAACAGCCCAACACCTATGTCTGACTTCTAATCCCTATAAGGTAACAGATCTGAGCTATTTTCATGTAGTTACAGTAGCAAACAGAAAACCCATCCAGGCATGCTAATGGGTCAGGTGCAGACTGGGCTGTCAGGGAGTCCGGCCACCTCTGCAAGCCATCCCTCTGGTCATTGGCCAATGCCAGTCACATGGTTACTCTCCACCAATGACTAGCAAGAGGATGACTGACTGTGACCCACTTCAGCCAATCAGAACTCAGGTCTCCAGCCAATCTGGGGACTCCGCTCCACGGCTTATTAAGACTCAGCCCTGTGGCCAATCAAGACTCACGCCTGTAGCCATTAGGCTCGCCTCTGTGACCAATCAGGACTCACCTGCTTGGCTGAAGTCCAGTTACTCCCTTTGTAACCAATTTGGCCCCCTGATTCCTGAGAAAAGTGGAGTCAGTTGTTGGGGAAGGGGTGGGGAGCATCCAGAAGAGGTGAGGCCGGAAGTTGGGGTATGGCCTGGAAGAGCTGTTGTGGGAAAGCTCGGAAAGAGCAGGCTTGGCAAGACGGGATCAGAAGGCTTGTGCTCCAGCCACGGGGCGCCATGGGCCAACAGAGGGGGCCCTGCTAAGCAGTTCCAGGCTCTCCTTCAAACTCCTGTACCAGCCACGAAGGCCAAAACCGCAGGTCCACTATAGCGACCCCTCAGGGACCAGCAAAGCCTTTGTCCTGGGGCCAGGGGCTGCCACCATTATGCAGAAGTAGATTCAGCCCTAAGCATCATCTGGAGACCCCGGCAACGGCGTGACCACCCATGACCCCAACCTGGAGGCCTGGCCGAAGGCATCAAGGTTGCAGAGTACGACGAGGCGGCCTGAGCCATCACCGCCCGATCTTGTCCTAAGGGATCCATCCGAATAAAAGGCCATTGGCTTATTGGCAAGGTTTTTGTGTGAAGTTTGTCTGTTTATTGGATACTGAGATTGATCCTGAGCTTAGGAGGCAAGTGCTTGAACTGCTGAGCTACATCCCCAGCCCATTTGTTTATTTTCGAGCCAGGGTTTTGATATGTAGTTTAGGCCGGCCTGAACTCAGGCTGACTCCAAACGAGGTGCTCCTCCTGCCTCGGCCTCCCAGGAATGCTGGGATAGCTGCTGTGCACCCCCGTGCCTGCTTTTTGTCCAGTTTTGGGATTCCTGGCAAGACTCCCATTCTTCCAGCATCAGTGACTCCCTAAGGAGGGGACTCCTGCTTCACAGTGTCATGGCCAAGGAAGCCCTGGATCCCACACTGGACAGACAGCCGGCCCGTGTGCACATCCAGCCCCACTGTATGTTGGGTACCCTCCTCTGCACCCACTTTGCAGATGGGGATGTGGAGGCAGAGAGAAGTCGCAGGGCCTGCTATGTGAGCAGCCCAATGCCGCTGGCCCAAACTGCCACAAACTGGATGACAAAGCAACACATTTGTCCCTCCCACACAGCGCCAGGGGGTCAGAAGTCCCGGAGGAGTCGCCCTGGTTGAAAATCAAGGTATCAGCACAGCAGCTGCGTTCTGCTGCAAGCTCAGCGGGAGGATCTGTTCGGCTCTGCGAGGCCACCCACATTCCTTGGCTGAGGCCGCTCCTTCCACCATCATGGCCAGCAGTGGCCGCCAAGATCTCTGTCCCTGGGCTCCTGCCACAGAGGAAGGGGAGCTCCCTGTCCTTCCCCATTTTTTTTTTTTCTTTTTGTAGCAGGAATTGAATTCAGGACCTTGCACATGCCAGGCAGGCGTTGCGCCACTGAGCTACATCCCCAGCCCACAATTTTTGTTTTTATTTTTATTTTTTTCACTGGGGATTGAACATGGACTTTACACTGAACTATACTCTAGCCCTTTAAGAAAGGTTTTTATTTTGAGACAGGGTCTAAGTCACTGACTTAGGCGAGGCTCAAACTTTCAATCCTCCTGCCTCAGCTTCCCGGAGTGCTGGGATGGCAGGTGTGCACCACCAAGCCTGGGGTTCATCTCAGTGTTGTTTTCTGTTAGTTTTGTTTTGGGGCTGCTGTTTTGTTTTGGTTGGGTTTGGTTTGGTTTTTTTGGACTTTTTTGAGACAGAGTTTGGCTATGCAATTCAGTTTGGCCTGAACTCACTACATAGCCCAATGGGACTTGAACTGTAGGTGATCCTCCTGCCTCAGCCTCCCAAATGCTAAGATTAAAGATGGATGCCACCATACCCAGGATTCAAGTCTCACTTTTAATGTGCTTTTCCTTTGAGCCTGCCTCAACTTCCCCAGACTCCCTCGGGCACTACCTGTGGGTGCCCCAGCTCGGTGTGCAGGACTTCTTCCCTGACCAAGCCTGAAGGGAGAGGGCTAGAGGTGAGCAGAGGTCACCAGGAGCCAGGGCAAGGAGGGTGGGAGCTGGGCAGGGTCTCCTAGAGCCAGAAGAGCTGGCTGAGGAGGGACACAACTTTCCTTGCGGTCTTGGGAAGTGGGGACCCTGCAAAAGATCCATCGGTTACTTGAGGTTTCCCTGGACTTGGCCTCCAGGGTGGGGACGAACCGAAAGCTCAGAGCTGGCGGGACAGGCCCTGAGCCCACGCCAGCTGGACAATGACCCTTTGATTTAGACCAGTGTGGCCAAGCCACGGCAGGGTCAGGTCCTGGTCAAGGTCACACTGTCCAGCCCCTGCATACCCTGGCCAAGAACACAGGGTCCTGCGCCTATCCCACCCTAGGGAGAATCCCTGTGGGATGCAGGGCAGCCAGCCAGGTCAGGACCGTGGCGTGTCTCTGTCAGGGTCACCAGGGCAGCAACTTGGCCTGGGGCCACAGCCCGGGCACAGGGTTACCCTGAGGTGCTAAGGTCAAAGGAAAGGGCTAGACGTAGCTTCTGCTGGGGACACGGCCATCTCAACAGTCTGCCTGTGCTGTGTGACCCTAGGGAGCCTCAGTTTCCCTATTTGAAGAGGAGGTGTAGGCAGGCATTGGGGCGGGCTAGACCCAGGGATTCTCAGGAAAGATTTCACTGTTTTCCTGGAAGCATTTCTGACTCCCTGCACAGACAGCTCCGTTTGTCTGTCTGTGTATTTTGCTGTCCGAGGCCCCTTCCAGTCTGGAGCTCAGCCTGCGGGTCACTGCAGTCCCCCGAATCCCGAATTATCCCTCCTACTACCACTGATCGGCTCTCAGGAGCACCAGGGACTCCAAAGAACCAAGGCACCCTGACCATTTTGGGGCCCCCACAATAGAAGGAGTCAGCCCCAAAATAGGAAAAAAGAGTCCGGCTGCACTGGGGCCTGGAGGACGCAGCCTCTGGGGCCCACGTGAGTGTCACTGTGGTAAATTGTGGGAATGCCTCGGCTTGGGTAACTCCGGATTCCAGGGCTGCTGAGGGCTGCAGGGAATTGGAATCCTGGGGTGGGGGGTGGGAGGAAAACCCTTACAGCAACCCAGGAGAAGCAACCCGGGACTGTACTGGCCGCTCCTGTTATCCCAGCACTCTGGGAGGCTGAGACAGGAGGATCACGAGTCCCAGCCCAACCCAGGCTACCGGCAAGGCAGTGACTTAGCAAAACCTTGTCTCAGAGTAGATAAAAAGGGGACCGGGGATATAGCTCAGCAGCATAAGCACCTGTCTGGTAAGCGCAAGGTCCTGAGTTCAATTCCTAGTACCTTAAATAAATAAGGGCTGGGGGTGGAGCTGAGTCAGTCCCCAGCCTAAGAGTGGATCCAGGGGGAGTCAGGTGTGGTGGTGTACGCTGTAATCTCAGCATTCAGGAGGCTGAAGCAGGAGGATCCTTGCAAGTTCCAGGCTGGTTTGGGCTACAAAGTGAGCTCAAGGCCAGCCTGAACTGCACAGCGAGACCTTGTCTCAAAAAGACAGAAAAAAAAAAAAATTGAAGCAGTGACCCTGGTCTAGGAAATTCCTTGCAAAGGTTGGGTGTGTGGTCAGGTCCCCCTGCTGGACCTCTCCACCTGTCCCGTGCCCCGCCCCTCACTTAGCAGTATGGTCACAGCCAGCTGCATGACACCTGAGTCTGCAGACAGCCGCCCACCCAGAGACCCCCAGAACTGATGGGGACACCTCGTCGTGTCCCCTCCCCATGGGTCACAAATCCGATTAAAATCCAGGCCCCAGTTCAGACCCTGACCCCGGCCCCAGCCACATCGTCCCAGCGAGGCTCTGCTCTCCAGCCCGGCTGCCATCCGCAGGACGCGTCCCGTCCCGCCCCGCCCCGCCGCCGGCCCCGCCCGCGCCCAGACCTTTATAGCAGCTCCCGCCCCGTGCGCAGCGCTCAGCTTCGCCATGCGTCCCGGGGTGCGGGGGCCGCTGTGGCCGCTGCCCTGGGGGGCCCTGGCCTGGGCCGTGGGCTTCGTGGGCGCTGTCGGCTCGAGGGACCCCGCGCCTGGTGAGTGGGGCTGTGGGCGGGCGGGCGTGGCGGCCACCCACGTGCAATGCGCTCACGGGCCCGGGCCGGGGGACGTCGGAGACCGGGCTGGGCTGGGGCAGAGCGGAGGTCGGGAAGGACGCGGGGTGACATTCACCAGGGCGCTGGGTGTGTGCCTTGGAGTCATCCGAGGAGCCCCAGCCTGGGGGTGCTCCTACCATCCCCACTTTCCTGCTGGGGAAACTGAGTCTGGGGCTCACAGAGCCCAGACAGCGTCTGGATGGGGGGTGAGGCTGGGGACCTCGGGCGGCGCGGGGTGGCTGGACCTGAAACTCAAGCTGACCTCTGTGATCTTTCCCCCAGACGGGGGTGGGGAGTGTGAACCTGGTGCCTTAAAATGGCTAGGAGACAAACCACCCTGCTGCCCACCCTGCCTCAGTTTCCCTTTTTGTAAAAGAGATGCTGGGTCCCCAGAGCTGATCCTTGGAAGGCTCCCCAGCATGTGTCCCAGAGCTAGGGAGAGCGGTGAGGTGGGGGCCACAGCCGTCCCCACTCCCCATTAAGGGTGAGGTGCTGGAGGGACCTCCAACTTCCCGGGGCCATCCCCCACCGTCACCTCCCCACAGCCGCACCCCAGCCCAGCGCAGGGGAGAGTGAGCCGAGCCCCCTCCCCGAAGGCTGAGTCCCCGGGGAGATGGTGAGCTCATGCCGGGGGAATGTTCCCAACTTACAGTGAGTAAGAGGCGGGTCAGGAGGGGGGGCTGCCTGGCGGGGGGCTCCGCGTGCGCCCTCGGGCGCTGTCTAGACAGAGGGCAGAGGCGGGAGCCGCGCTCCAAGGCAGTGACCCTGATGGGCCAGGCCGTCTGTCCAGCATCTGAGCGCTTGGGCCAGGTGCCAGCTCGCAGGCCCGGGGACGGTAGCTGGGGGCTGTGGGGAGCGGGGCTCAGGGGTAGCAAGGCCCCCACCCAGGGTACCTGTGCCCCTCCCTCCTGCATTGGGGCCCCGTCGCGTCTTCTCCGAGGCCGCGGAGCCGCTGCAGAAGCCGGTCCCTGGGAGTGATCGGCGGCCCGGGCGCTGTCCCCTTCCTGCCCGCAGCTGGGGTGTGCTGGCTCCGGCAGGGCCCCGAGGCCACCTGCAGCCTGGTGCTGAGGACGGACGTGAGCCAGGCTGAGTGTTGCGCCTCCAGCAACATAGACACCGCCTGGTCCAATTACACACAGCCCGAGAACAAGATCAACCTCCTGGGCCTCTTGGGCCTGGTCCACTGCCTGCCTTGCAAAGGTGAGGACCCCGCCCCCGCAATCCCAGGAGGGGCGAAGGCTAGGAGCCAGTGGGGTGGGCGTGACTCAGCCCAGGCAAGGCACAATTTCGTGTCCGTGACTGCAGCCAGAAGAACTGGGGGGGAACACCCCCATCACAGGATGGGTGCAAGCGGCCCATGGAGGACGCTCAGTGACCCAGGCCCCCAGCCTTCGGGAGGAGCCCCTCTGGGAAGGGATTTTTCTCAAGTGACCCTCCAGGCTCAGGGTGTTCAGCACATCCTGCAGGTCTGCACCAGAGCTAATACTGCCTCTAACACGCTTGTACCTTCCTGGACCAAGCCCCAAGAAACTCACCCCCCACATCATGCTAAAAGCAGATGAGCATAGCCATCCTCTCTCTGTCTCTGAGGATGAGTTGGTTAGAGGACCTTTCCTGGCTCCTTGTGGTCAAGTCTGAACCTCCAGGGCGCGGGAGAGGGAGAGTGTTGGGGGCAGGGCTTAAAGGAAGTGGGCATTAGTGACAGGGTGTTGGGGGATGATTAGGAGCTTACTGGTTCTGTTGCAGGCAGGCAAGAGGGTAGCCAAGAGGCAGAAGCAGAGGCTTGGAGACCTGAAGGGCCAAGTTGCTCCCTAGCCCAGCTCGGCTGTGAGATGTGATTAATCCCAGATCAGCCTGGCTGGGTGGTCCCAACTCCGTCAGGCACCCCCCTCCCAGACTTTTCCTCTCCCCGCTTCTGGAAGGAGGACAGACTTCAAAATGTGCCTGGCCTGGGCATGAGGTGGCCCAGCCCCCCCCCCCCCCCCCCCCCCCGCCAGTCTGGCCGAGGAATGGGAACTTGGCCCCCCCTTCTGTTTTTGCTTGCACGGAGCTGCTTGCCCGAGCGGTTCCAGATGTGCGCGTGGGCAGGCAGCGTGGAAGGCGCCCAGTGTGGCCGCACACCGGGCAGGAGGCGTGGAGGGCACAGGGCACCCTAGGAGCGCTAGCTCGTTCCCTAAGGTGAGGTCACCCAGCCCCCTGCTATTCACAGGGAAACTGAGGCTGGAGTGGGCACCACAAGGTGCAGAGCTTGTATCCACTGGGACCTGGCATGGGGCTCTCAAGCTGAGTTGCTCCTGGGGCCCCCACACTCATAGCTGTGCCTGAGCCTCAGTTTCCCAGTCTGTAAAATGGAGGTCAGGAGGATGCGATGAACAGCGGGTGACAAGAGGTTTCTCCTAGCCGGACCTCAGTTTCCCTAGCTGAGAAATAGGGCTGCAGGGGCGTTCATTGAGGCCTGCGGCAGAACTTGGGACTCCGACAGAACCGTGGGCAGAGACTCCGCCGCCTGCTGGACGCGCGCGTGCCCTGTGTCCGCAGATTCCTGTGACGGCGTGGAATGCGGCCCCGGCAAGACGTGCCGTATGCTGGGGGGTCGCCCGCGCTGCGAGTGCACGCCCGACTGCGCGGGGCTCCCGGAGCGCATGGAGGTCTGCGGCTCGGACGGCGCCACCTACCGCGACGAGTGTGAGCTGCGCACCGCGCGCTGCCGCGGACACCCGGACCTGCGCGTCATGTACCGCGGCCACTGCCAAAGTACGGGGCGGGGCCGGGGAGGGGCGGGGCCACTTTGCTGGGCGGGGCCAGAGTGGGGGCGGGGCCTCCCGTTTAGCGCCTAGAGCATGCACTCTGACCGCTGCTAGGCGGGGCCTGGAGAGGGCGGGGTTAAGTGGGCGGGTCAGAGAGACGGAGCCACCCGGCCCAGCGCCTAGACTACCCGACCCAGACAGCTGCCAGGCTGGCCTCAGTGGGGCGAAATTACAGAGACGGGGATCAGGCGGAGGGGTCCACCGGAACGGCGCCTCTTGTCCTCTCGGGCCGAACCTGCAGGGCTGAGGGTCCTGGCCAGGTCTCGCCAATAGGTGCTAGAAGCTGATCGGCTCTTGGGTGCTGCTCAGAGAGGATGGGAGATGGGGATGGACCAGATTTGGGGCCTGTGGGTGGAGCCAGAGGAGGAGGACTTGTTATTGTCATTGGGGACATGGTAGGGCGTGCTTTTGGGATGCAAACTGAGAAGGCCAGTTTGTGGGTGGAGGTGCAGAGGGCGGGCTTGTGCGTGTGGCCAGCGCCAGGGTCTTGTAACATAAGAGGCAGGTATCCCTCTGGGGGCGTGGCCCTCTAGTGCTGAGGGAGGGGTATATAGCCCAAAAAGGGCGGAGCTTAATGATGTAGCCTGAAGGGCGGGGCTTATGGCGGGTGTGGCGCCCAGGTACAATAGAGGGCGTGGCTTGCGAGTTGTGAGAGGCGGGGTAATCTGGGTGACGCTCCCTGCACCCCGCCCACAGAGTCCTGCGAGCGCGTGGAGTGCCCGCGGCCACAGTCCTGCCTTGTAGACCAGACGGGCAGCGCGCACTGCGTGGTTTGTCGCGCGGCGCCATGCCCGGTGCCCTCCAATCAGGGCCAGGAGCTCTGTGGCAACAACAATGTCACCTACATCTCCTCGTGCCACCTGCGCCAGGCCACCTGCTTCCTGGGCCGCTCGATCGGCGTGCGCCACCCAGGCAGCTGCAGAGGTGAGGAGGTGTGGGACACGTCCGGGCCTAGAGCCCCACACAGGGCCCTCGCTCACCCTCTGCTGCCCTGCACCCCCAGGATCCCCCAGACAGAAGGCAGAGGAGGAGGAGCAGGCGGAAGAGGCCGAGTCTGAGGAAGAGGAGAACTTCGTGTGAGCTTCGAGGGACCCAGCCACGCGTCCCCCGGTTTATTTATTACATCTTCAGAGTCTAATTTATGTCCCACAGACGCGCTCCCAACCTGGCTTGGGACCACGTGGGGACCCCACAGTGCCCCGATGATGTCTTGGAAGGGTTGAAGGAAGAAGCCCAGGAAGGTACCCCGTGTGGCACCCGGGGTAGCGAGCCTTAGAGGGGCCTAAGCAGCTTCTGGTCCTTGGCATGTGGCTGTCACTTAGCAGTGCCACCCAGAACACAGGGAAGCTCTTTTGGCCCCACTGCCTCTGTATCCCCTTTGTGTCCTTGTGTGTCCCTGGGCTGGCTCCCATTCATGCCTCCTGACACAGCTCCTGGCTTGGCCCGCTAATGGCCAGCCTTCACGTGGTTCGCCTGGTGATATCCTGTGGTCTCAGATACTGGGTGACCAGCACCCACCCCGAACTCACCACTATGTCCAGCAGCACCTGATTGACTTGGGGCAGGACCTAGAGAGAACTGTGACCCCAGTTCACTCACAGGCCAGGGTGCGGTGCAGACAGCAGGACCCCTAGGGGTGCCCATGCCCGTGGCCATGCGCCCGTGCGGCTCTGGGCTTCCACTCTTACATATGGCTCCCAAAAGTTTCTTCTTGCCCACCAGTCCAGCTAGGCATAGTGACTGCAGGTGCTGTTGGGGTGTGGGGGGGGGGGCTAGACAGCAGAGATTCCCCATCCTCCATTTGATTGTTGTTCAGAATCACCAAGTGTGCCTTCACGGAGAATAGAGGCTCAAACTGGACATGGGGCCACCCAGCAGGAAGGGAGCCTGTCTCCCCAAATCCAGGGTGGGCAGTTTGGGGGCATGTTGCCCATCCAGCTGCAGCCCCTGGCCATGCTTTATGATGATGTCCCAGAAATGGGTCCTGGGCGGGGGGGCCAGGACCAGGCAACTTCCTTGTCTCCTGGGGTGCTGTCTTACCAAAATAATAAAATCAGAAAAAGCCACTGGAGGTGTCCCCGTATCTATATGTCCTTTTGCCCTGGGCCAGATCTGGTCCCTCAGGCAAGGGGGTGACTGTCCTGGGGGGCTTGAAAGCATGCAACACTGGTCTCAGTGTTGAGGGGGAGGCTGCTGCAGGGGGAAGGGAAGGGAGAGAGAAAAAGAAACCTTTATGGGGTGGGGAGGCAAGGGAGACAGATGGCTCAGGGGACCCTAAAACACCAGCTTGCTTTGGTTCTGCAATGAAAGCCCGGGCAGGGCATACTGGAGCATATCTGTCATCCCCGTACTTTGGGAGGCTGAGGCAGGAGAATCCCAAGATGGAGCCCAGCTTGGGTCGTTCAGTGCTGTAGTAAAAGCCTAACGCTAAATTAAGAAAATAATAGTAATGATAATGATGTGACGGTCACATGAAGTGGCCCTGGTTAAGGGTCCACAGGGAGATGTGGCCCTCTCTGCCTCAGAACCTCCCAGGGCTCCCTGCAGCTCTAAAATCAAAAGCTCACCTCACCTCTGCCTTCGGGGACCTGAGATCCAGCCCCCAGCCCTCTCTCCACCCTGCACATCCCTAACTCCCTGGGCCCCAGCCCCACTGCACGGATTTATGACGCCTGCCTTGCCCTGTCTGGGGTCCGCTACCGCCCTCTACCGGCGATGTGGAGATGCACATCTGTTCTCGCTTGGCCGAGCGCTTGCACAAGCAGCTGGGCAGGCACCGTGGGAGGCGCCCGAGTGCATCCTGCAGGGGCCTGGCTCCTCTCCGTAGCGGCCTGAGTAGCCCCACGGCTGCGGCCCAGATGGCAGAGCCATTAGGCTGTGAGGATAGTGCCAGAGTCTGAGGACTCGACCGAGGCCTTCGCACTCAGCTGCACCCCCACCGCCCGTTTATTTTTTAACTGAGATCTTATTGAGTTGCCCAGGCTGCGCTCGAACTCCTATTCCTCCTGCCTCAGCCTCTCAGAGTGCTGACATAAAAATATGAGTGCAGGCCGGGCATGAGGATGCACGCCTGTCATCCCAGCACTCAGGAGGCTGAGGCAGGAGGATCCTTGGGAGTTTAAGACCAGCGTGGGCTACAAAGTGAGCTCAAGGCAGGGTGTGGCCCCCAGCACCACCAGGCCTTCTTGGGGGGCCCTAGGACAGAGAGGGGGCGGACAGGTGAGGATTGCCTGCCCTCGGCCTTGGCGCCCCCTTTCTGCAAAGCCAGGAGCTCAGAGACACCAATGCAGGAGCGCCAAGGCGACCATCCCACTTTAATTACAGCAAACCTCCAACCGCTGCATATTAATTTGAGCCATAAAAACGCTCTTACAAAGCACATAACGCCATGTTTGTCACCATCCCACCTCCACAAGTACTGTCACCGCAGGCGTGATACTAATTTTCTCCTTATTCGCAGCGCGCCGGGGAGGGAGCCGGGGCCGCCACCGCTGCGCTGCAGCTCCAACCTTATTATTATTATTATTATTTAACTTTTTATCGGTACCAGGGATCGAACTCACCACGACCGCCTGCTTGCAAGGCAGGTGCTCATGCCGCTGCGCTAAATCCCCAGCCCCTACTGTTTTTATTTCGAGTCAGCATCTCACCAAGTTGCCCGGGTCGGGCTCCAACTTGAGCTCCTCCTGCCTCGGCCTCCCCATTCGCTGGAATGCCGGATGTGGCATCATAATCATTTACCAGGAGAATAATACACCTAAAATGATCGAAGTGGCTGTGGGGGGGGGATCAGGACTGGCGATATGCGGGCTGGGGAGGAAGAGGGAGAGACCGAGGCGGGGAGGAAGCGGGCAGGAAGGGGGTCTGGGCCCCAGGACTCCCGGCTCCCGGCTCACTGTCACTGGAGACCGGGCGGGAGCCCGAGGTCAGGTACGTTGGCAGCACAGGGCAATCAGGGTCCTCACCCAGGGGTCTCATGGGCAGTGGGCGTGGCCAGGAGCGGGAGCGTCAGCAGTGGGGCCTGATGTCACAGGATGACCCAGCCTGGCCTGAGCTTAGAGGTGCTGCCAGCTACGCTGCCTCAGTTTACCCAGAATCCGCCCAGCCCAATGAAGTTGCATAGGCGCTCTTCCCCAGGGCACGCTGCCGGGGACCACTGGGGATGGGGTGGAGGCCGCAGGCTGGGCCTCACTTGGTCCAGGATGTGGGGCCTCACCCTGGGATGTGTGTTCTGCCTCAGTTTCTCCACCTGCGGCCAGAGTGCTGGACGCGGGGCTGGGAGGACACAGACAAGGCCAGTCACCCTGGAGCCCTGCTACATCTACTGAGCATCTGCTGTGTATCGGACCTTAGGCTGGGAGTTGGGGTATAACAGTGGACAATCGGGGGGCCATGGCCATTGTCCAGCAGGACATGGACAGTACCTTGCAGTGCCCGAGAAGGGATGGAGTCGAAAAGTGCAATATTTTCTTTTCTTTGTTTGAGGCGGTAGTTGGTCCAGGCTGGGCTTGAACTCCAGGTGACCCTTCTGCCTCAGCCTCCCAGATACTGAGATGATCCTTGTGCTCCAAGATCCCCAGTTTTCTGGATTTCAATGAGCTGACACAGAGCTCCCGAGCTGGCAAAATCATCTGAACAGCCCTCAATCCTTGATGTGTCCTTGGGGGTCCTGGAGTCCCCCGATAGGCTGCAAGCAGAGCTCAGCACAGCTCGGAAGAGGACACCTGGCCAGGGAACCAGGTATCCCAGCAGCCATTACACTCCTGCTGCTGGAGCACCCAGGACCTGCAGCCCACCTGCCGGGCAGCCCAAATGTCACCTGGCCACCCTCAAGGCATGACTATCCACTGCAGGGCACAGACTTAGGCCCTGTCTTGCCCAGCCGTGGAACCTGATTATGCTCACGTCACCCTGCAAGACCGGCGGCTTGTGTGCTTGTCTGGTGCGGTGTCCCCAGGGCTCAGACTGTGACTGTTAAGGTTGTGCAATGCATGTCAGGTCAGCTCTGTGGGATCCTGGCCTGGGTTTGCTCCCAAGGCAGATGCGGAACCTCCCACAGCTACACACACCCCAGGGGTCACAGGAGCTTTCAGCCACAACTGTGTGGGGCATTACATACCCCAAGTCTGCTTCTTTCTATCCACCCCTGGGTTGGACAGCACCCAGACGCAGAGAGGTTAAGCGCCTCTGCCGAGGCCACACAGCATGGAGCTGAGGGCCAGGACTGCGGCCTCAGGGCAGTTCCTGTCTCCTCCCCGCCGCCACCCAGAGCTGTTTCCTTCCATTCCTGTCACACATAACAGTCCTGGCTGATCCCAATCACCGACCTCCCAGGAGCCCGGAGGAGCAGGTTGGGTGGGGTCTGTGTCTTTACTTTCCAGCCGGAGAGTGTGGGGCAGCCAGCTGCCATATCAGTACTCAGGAGACTGAGGCGGGAAGATCAGTTCAGGTGGAGGCCAGCTGGGGGTGGGGACAGCATTTCCAGAGGGGCAAGAGGCACAGGGAAAGACTGGGACCCTAAAATGGGACCCAAAGGAACCCAGGACAAAAGACAGGCTGTGGGGAGGCCAGCAGAGGTCCAGGCAGGGTGCTGGGGGCACTGGGCAGCTGTGGAGGGCACCCAGAACTGGGGGAGGCGGCAGGCAAAGCTCAGTGTGAGCATTCTGGGGTGCTGGGGCCCAGGGGGCACCCAGATCGTCGCTGGATCTTGGAGCAGGCTGTGGTGGGGTACTGGTGTCTCCTGGGAAAGGTCACGAGGGTCACCACGCAGCCACAGTGTCTGTCCCAAGGCCACATCCGGGCATCCGCCCGCTGTGGACGTGAACCTGGGGAGCCCTCGGGCTCCCACTCTGAGGACCAGGGAGCCCCAGGAGGTCTGGGCTGGGGGAAGTGAGGGAGATGCTTCTAGCAACCACTTCCTGTGGCACTTGGTGGCCTCCGGTACTTTCGCCTCCTTTCTGTTTTGTTTTGGGGATTTGTTTTTTGTCTTTTGAGCCAGAGTCTTGCTGCATAACCCAGCTGGCCTTGAACCCAAGCTCCTCCGACTCTGGCTTCTGGATGGCTGAGATTACAGCCCTCGCCACACCTGGCTTGGTGTGAGTGACACGGGAAGGAACCCAGGGCCTTTGTGCTGAGCTCCATCCCCAGCCTTGTTCATTGTTTGTTTTGAGATAAGTTTTACTAAGTCGCTGGGTTGCTCAGGTGGAGCTCAAATTTGAGATCATCCTGGCTCAGCCTCCCAGAGTGCATGGATGACAGGAGTGCGCCACTGCCACACCCAATTTTTCTTTCTTTCTTTCTTTTTTTCATCTTTTAGAGACAAGGTCTTGCTATGCAATTCAGGCTGTTCTTGAGCTCATTTTGCAGCGTAGGCTGGTCTCAAATTTGCAATGATCCTCTTGCCTCAGCCTCCTGAGTGCTGGGATTACAGGTGTGCACCACCAGTCGGCTCAAGCTTCCTCTTTTTTAAAACATTGAGTAATTTTTTAAGAAGACAAAACATCTCCGTCTCTCCAAAGACAGGAGTCCCTGGTGCACGGTCATGCCAGGCACATAGTAGATGCACAGTAAAGCTCTTTGACCTAAAAGAATACACAGGCCCAGAGATAATGAAGAAATTACCCAGAGTCACTTGACGTGAGTGCCTAGCAAAGGGACAGGAAGCTAGTGGCCTGCGGTCCCATCTGGCCGACCACTGCGTCTATAAACAGAGCTTTGCAGATACATTTATATGCAGCCTCTGGATACTTCGGGACCACAAATGCTAGAAAGGAGGCTTCCCAGAGAGATTGGCCAACAATGCGGAAAACATTTACTAGTCTGGCCTCTCACGAAACGCGCTTCCCAAAGCCAGGGCTGCTGCCTGACGGCGGGCTGTTCTGAGACCTGGGAGTATTCTCTCGGTTACCCTCCTGGCAACTTCAGCGTGAGGCTCAGTGTCACACAGCAGCACAGGAGAGACAGGTGGGACTGTGATCCACACCCAGGACCCCGATGCTTCTCCGGATTTCTGTGTTTCTCTAAAGCTGCTCACTGGCTGGGGATAGTGATGCTCACCCAGGAGGCT